AGCACCTTGGTACACTTCAGCACGAGGGCCCTGTGCCAGGAAGAGGGCTCACCTGCTGCTGCTGGCAGCTCACTGCACTCATCTTGGAGCACAGATGTGATCAGGCCTGTCAGCAGTTCCCTACAGCTGATGCAAGGCGACTCATCTCTTTGTTGTATGACTTGACAGACCTTTCAAAGTTCACAGGTTTTTAGCCTTCAGGGTCGATATTTAGAAGTCTCCAAGCTGGCTCTGAATTCAGTTGCATATAACTTACCACATGTACTGGATTCGTAGCTTAATAACACCTCTATTTGCTTAAGACTATGCTAAACGTGTAGTATTTCAAATCTGAGCAAACTATTTTGCTTTCAGCATGCTCCAGAGCCTTTTACTATTTTATTAAGGTATCTCTACCTTCTAAATTTCATCAGCAATGTTATCAGTGTCATCTCAAGCTATCACAGCAGTAAGCTCAAAATTATCCAGCCATATGATCACAGAATCATCATCACAGAACCACAGAATACTTTGGGTTGGAAGGGACCTTAAAGATCATCTAGTTCCAAGCCCCCTGCATGGGCAGGGACACCTCCCACTAGGCCAGGTTGCTCAGGGCCCCATCCAACCTGACACTGAACACTTCCAGGGACAGGGCTTTCATAACTTCTCTGGGAAACCTGTTCCAGAGTCTCACCATCCTCACACCAAAGAATTACAACCCAATTTTGACTAAATGGTACCTACTAGACCAGCTATAAGCAACACAAAATCACATCACAGAACAGTATTAGTATTTAAATGTTAAGTTCTGACTTCTCTGAAAAGTCTCTTCAGCTGAAGAAAAAACCAACAAAAACAACTTTCAGGTTTTTTTTGAATTTATAAACACAGAGATGAAACTTTCTGAAATAATGTAACTTTTTTTTTTTTTAAACTACCAAGATGCTTTTCACTAGAAATACTCAGTAATTTATTGCTAGGAACACCCAGAAACGCAAGAATAAAAGTAACGCAGCAGCTCTTGTGCGTTTGAGAGGGAAAAAGCCAAACCATGACGTCAGCTGCCGGCAGGCTCAGGCTGCTGGTTTAAAAGTTTACTGCAAGATTCTGCCACGTGAGCCGTGAGAGTGCGGCAGCCCGGCCACGGAGTTTCAAATTCAGGACTCAGGACCTGCTTATGAACGGGCTGGCGGGACCTCCGCGGTGAGCGCAGCCCACCCCGTTCCGGGAACGAAGCGGGGGCTTTCACTCCCCCCGCCCCGGGTCGAGCCTGGGGTCGCGGCTTTCGGCCTGCGCAGGGCCC